TGTATGGAGGATGCAGCCCTAGTTTGTCATGGGAGAGAATTCCACACTCTAGGGGAAGTAACCATAAACACTCACTGAACCCAACCCAGGAGTTTCCAAATCTGGGTTCAACTACACAAAGTTGGTTCACCGAACGAACTTCAGAGCGGGAATGATTATAAAAAAATAAAAGTTCAGGCTTAGGACCTAGCCCTGTAACTTGTAGCCTAGGCATACCCTCACCACACTGGTGTTACTGTATTATATTAATATGTATTTTAAATCAACCTACTTTGTCCTTGGCACATGTTGTCGATGTCTGACAATAAGCTGATGACATAAGACACATAAGTCAGTGAGTAGAGTTACAGTGCATTGTTGTGAACTAATTTTTAGGATGCTAGCTGTGTGTTCTTCAGTACTTAACAAGTTCAGACACTTCTCCCTTAAGGCTGGAAGAGTCGTGAATCCATCGTGCTATAAATGAACAGACATAAAAATAAGATCAAGTAAATTCACTTTGTTATCACAAGTAAAATCACACATAAATGCAAACCAAATGCATGTAAACCAAAATGTTAAACCATTTTGATCTAAAACCTGAAACTTGAAATAAATTACAGTATGATTATTATTGATGCTGACCTCTGAAATCATGACCTCATCATCAGAATCAGAATCATCATTTTGTGCAAACTTCCGATCAGACACACTAGGCATACTGGGTAATAAGACTTTAATGACATGTAAGTACAGTTGTAATGAGTCCATGTCAAGCTGGCCTGCGTAAGAGAAATATTAAAATTATGATTTAGCTTGTCTATACAAAATCAATTTCACTAATTTTTAAAGTCTATGATTACAGATTTGACCGTCAATCATACAAACACTAAAAATATTAAAGACTCGCACAGTGCACATTGCATACAGACTCTATCGCATTGTTTTCCTTCAGGCAGTGATTGGCAAGATAAATAATCACAGATGCTCTAATAATTTTGGCATATGACTAGCGTATCTTAACAAATGTTTGAATATGAAGATTGATGGAGCCTCGGATCCTATTTATGAGTGCATAATATAGCTTACAAGCACCAACTCATGGGCCTCACACCATGTTTCAAATGGCACTTAGCATATGTGAACAGTGAAGCACTTGATGCTGAGTGGAGTTGGATGAGGTCACAAGAGATATTTTATGAAGCCCTTTGTAATCAGTTCAGAGATAATCAGTATACATCATTATATATATATATATATAAATATA